TATACTTGGGAATGGATTCAGCCTTCCTCCTGTTCTGCTAATAAATACTACTGTAATAATATGGTTTCTGTGCTAGAACACTGGATGATAGAGGAAAAAGTAAATGCCCCTGATACATAGGAATAAAAAAATAACAGTGGAATTTCACCAAAAACTTGACTTTATTCTAGTCAATACTTGTACAGTAGGCAAAGTGTAGCGTGATTGGTTTTTCACTAACTTCAGAAATGACTCGTATTTGCTAAATTATGTGTTCCTAGCCTCTCCCAAAGACATTGAAAAATCAGAATGTTTGAAGATAGGGCTGAAAATGGACATTAACATGCTTCCCAGGTGATTCTTATGTACATTAGTCTGTGAATTACCTAACTTAGAGGGTAACTGACTTTCCTGCAGCCATCTCAATCCAAATTGAGCCTTTTACACAACCAAATTTAATGATCAATCTTTTTATTTTTATTTATTTATTTATTTATTTTTATTTTTTCCTTTTTGTCTTTTTTACTGACCGGTAACGGGATCGCAACCCTCGGTGTTGCACCCGCACCGCGCTCAGCCAGTGAGCTGGAACTGGTCTCCACATGGGATCCGAACCCTCGGCGCTCCCAAGCGGCGCACTCTCCAGTGCGCCACCGGGCCGGCCCAATGATCAATCTTTTTAAATAAGAAATAGGAATATTACTCAATCTGGTTTGTGATCACTACTGTAGCAAAAAACAGGATACTGCACACTAATGCAACATATAATTTCAGGCTAAACACCAGTAAGCCACCAAAATTGTGTGTGTGTGTATAAGAATATTTCTGGTTTAAATCATCTAATCCCTTATGATTCTCTAAAAATATTAAGTGATTAAAAAAAAAAGCTCATACAAGATATTATGAATGGAGACCAAGATTACGGTCTACATCAGTTCAATATCTTTCAATAACACCATGATAACATCAAGCTATTTAATTATGTTCTTAACCTGTGAATGGTAAACCACACCCACTTTACAGATGGGAACTCTGAAGTTAACATGGGACACTACATATTAATGAATTTTCTGTAGTTTCGTATAACTTCGTATAATGTATGCTATACGAAGTTATTACGGGACAGTGCCTTAGTACAGAACCAAAATCTGTCTCACTCAACTTCCACATGTTGGTTTGAGATTTGCCCTTTTCCTCATTTAAGTCCTTCCTATGTTTGAAGACAGCTGTCATATCTCCCCTTAGTTGTCCTTTTGTTGTCTCTTCTCCAAGCTCTACCTCTTATCAATTCTAAGACACACATTCTTTCTTCACATAACATCTTTGAAATTGGGATGTGTTTTGTAACCGGTGGTTTGTCATAGTTTAATCGAGCTTTTTCTCCCCTAGTGGTACATAAAAATGGTGTACCTTACAATAGTTAACAATTAGATTGGCTGAAATACAGTAGTTATCTCACTTTAACACTTTAGTGAACCACAGAAATGTTTAAGACCATTCGGTTCAATTCCTTACCTTATGCACAGAACACTACCCAGCCACTCTCCTTGGTTATGTTCTGAGGTTGAATCTAATGCCTTACAAAGTAACTCATTTCAAAATCCTAATTACCTCAGTTACTTTCTAATATCCCACTGAAGTAACTCTTATTGGTCATAGTTCTACTCTTCAGCCACATAAATGAATCTACCTCTCATTGACCGTGCTTGAATGTGATCCTTTGTTTTTTGGGTATGACGTTTTAAATTTACTATAAAATGTGGATACTCTTCAGACAGGATACAATAATGTATGTAAAAACACTTACAGCATGCCTTCTAGCTGCCAAACAATATAATCTCTTCCCTTCTGCCTTCCCCAGACATGGCAATTCTCAAAATACAGATTTCCAACTGGATCCAATACTTCAGATTTGTGATGTGACTGTATCAACTATAGTGGGCTTCCTGTCTTGGTCTGAGCATTATACTTTTCTTAATGTAGCTAAAAATTACATTAGTATTTTTGGCAACAGAGTCACAATTCATAGTTTGACATGAACCACCCTTAAGCCATGTTATATTTCACCATCCTTTTTTTTTTTTTTTTTTTACCAACCAAAGTGCAAAACCTAAATAATTCTCCTGACTCAATGTATCCTGTGTGATTCAAGTCGACATACCAAACTACTGGTTTAGGTTTAGGTCTCAATTTTGACTTTCAATGTGTGTTATCTGCTTAATCTCCCAGATCTGTCATCTTTCATGGTATGATCTAATTTACTGGTAATGCCAGTGGCAAGGAGAGAGTCTTGTGACCCACCATTAGGATCTAGCTTTTGGGAAGTAAAATCATCTCAATGTCATATCTCATTTCTCCAGAGACTATCTTAATGAAACCTAGTTAGTAGGCATTACTAGGTCTTCTTTATTAAGAACTTTGTCTACTATATAGACAAACCACGGTTAAGAGAACATTTAATGCAGACACCCTCTCCACACGTTTAGATTTTCAGCAACTCTTATTTACAAAATTGATGCTATTAAGCAAATCTAAGTTAAATGAAATAAGTGAGTCCTCTTTACCACAATGCTCAGATGTCACGTATTTAATGAGCAATGGATGTAACAGAATGAAATCTATGTAACAGAATGAAATCATAACTATGGTTTGTGAATAAAATAAGATTCAGAGGAAGGGATTAACCAGAAAGGATAGAGTGGAAAAACTGAAATTTCTGAAGGTTAATTGAAAATGCTTTAAAAGATTCTTGTGAAGATGAAATTACAGCAAAAGATAGTAAATTATCTCAAAGCCCAATGCTTTAATTTGTACATTTTATTTTCAAATTGAAATATAAACTTATACCATTTAATCAACAAGTATTTATCAAGCACCTGCCGTGTCCCAATTTCAGTGGCAAAAGGAAAAGACCAGTTAATGGTTGGCTTTATATATACTGCAAGAATTTAAATAAACTTTCAGTTCTTAATTAAAATTTATTATATCTAAGAAAAACTATTTGTGCAGTGAAAAAAATCCCTGAATATTAAGTTTTATCATATATAGTACCATCGCAAGAAGCATAGATAAATTTGCAACCAACTAGATTAAAGAAGATTTAATAGATTAACAGATTTAATCTATCAAGGAACTTAAAAGACTTAACCTATCAAGATCAAGGAACTTAATAGATTAAAGCAATTAAGTAGCTTTTTAGAAAGCCAATTATAGTTTAATCTTAAAATTTACTTAACATAGTGTACACATCTATTTCACTAGCAAATAGGGGGAAATTAACAAAATTAAACCTAAGAAAGAAAATGTGAAATATAATTAGTTTAGGTCAACACAAGTTATAAAACCAAGGAATATAACAGTGTGTTACATTAAAAAGTTTAATGTAGAATTTTAAAGATTTCAAATAGAATTTTAAAACTTGTATTTAAAGTTAAGAGCATGGTTAACTTCTGATATTAACAAGCTATAAAAACTTGGTTCACATGCAACAGTTTTCTCATTTTGGTGATTCAAGATAAAAAGAACTCAGAAAACTGGAAAAGTGTGTACATAAAACTCTGTATACAGCAGTTAAAAAAAAAAAAAAATTAGAGCCAAGACAACAAACCACTTGATATGAGCTATCTTGTTTTTCTGAGTCATTCATACAGTATCAATCATGATCATGCTTCAGCTGAGACTTTAATCCATATTATTGTTTATATTCATAAGACTAAAGATCCCCATTCCATTGTCTTTTTTTCTTCCCACCGGTTTCTCACTCATGGTTATGTAGGAAAGGCTACACTTACAAAGTGAATCATTATGAAAAAATCTTTACTTTTTTAAGAAAACTGATTTCTAGGATTTGACCCTGGTTTATGTAAAATATGGTGTAGTGTTCTGTGAAGCTTTTTTGCATGACAGTTAAGACTATAATTCCATAAGTGCCATCTTTCCTACTGAGGAAATGCTTTGGTTTAATTCTGAAAGATAAAAATAAAATCTTTTTTTTGTTTGTTTCTCATATCTCAAAATACATAGAAAAAGGTAAATTTTAAACCACTTTATATTCCTGATACTCAAACACAGCAATGTCATAAATGTTTCATTTTCAAACATAATTTGGTGAATGTCAATAAACTTGCACCCTTCATAGAAAAATAGGTAAAAAATGAAAATTTAAAGAATCAAAACTCACTGCCTTTTTTCTACTCTCTAGTTTTGTTTTGGTAGCTTCAGTCTTCAGTCATTTTTAAATATAGTTATTTGTATTTAAATGGGAAAAGAATCAATCAACTTGTAATTGTGAAATATCCAGGTCAGCAAACTGAAGGTAAAGTCTCCCCACCCCACCTTTTGGCTTACCTTAATGTGTGCAATACTTCTTAAAGATAAATCTCAAATGTCTATCAAGAAATTTCTCACAGAAGAAAATTAGTATGATTGGGTCCCAAGAATGTTCAGGATGTTTTATTTCTAATGCTGCCATAATCCATAAAAGTTTTCTCTGGTTAATACTAAGAATTTCTGCATTTTTAACCTACAAGTGAAATGGTTCACTATAGTTTCCTTAAATTACTTGTTGAAAGCTGAAAAAAAAAATCTTAATTTAGTCACTCCATTCAGTTTGATATTTGTAAAACTTCAGTGTTTTTCATGTTGAAGAAATAATTTCACAATTTCAAATCAAAGTCAACACTGCAGTGAGGAGAGCTTTTCTACTTTATTACAAAGAGAAGAAGCCTTTATGTGGTCAGAAAATACAAGATTGATCTTTTTTTCTCTTCCTATGAAACGCTGCTGTTCAAACAGCCAGAGTGAATTGTCTCAGTTCACTTCTTTAAGTCCCATCACATTCACTTGGGTATGGATGTCCTTGGCTGCTGAAAATCTGGCCCTTTAGTGCACAGGGCGACAAAGTCCCCTGACCAGCAGTTCCAGAATGTCCCATTTTCATATATTGCATCCATGCACACCTCCTAAAAATGAGGTACAGCAGGGCAAACATTTTCCAAAATAGATGTCATATATATAATATATACACATTCGTACATACATACCTTTATTCATGTGATGTCCAAAAATTTAAAAAAAATGTACACATTTATTACAAAATCGTAACAAAGACTGGACAGTGTTTTGCTCATTCTGGAAAGATGAAGCTCAGTAATAACACAACCCTGGAAACCATCCAGAGATTGTGGCAATATCTTTCTTCTAAACAGTCAGATATTCTTGCATTAAGCCTGGCAAAACTGCCTTTCAAAAACAGAAGGGGAAGTAAAATGAAGGAAGCAGACCTTGCTCATCTTTCCAAATGAAATACGAGAAGGATCCTCACATAAAAATGCACAAACATTTGTTATTTTATTACCAATAGTGCTACAATGAACAATGCAAATTTTGTGGTCTAATTTTGTTGAGTCTTTTGTGGGTTTTCTTTTTTACATTTTAGAAACTAAATGGTAAACTTCTGTCAGTGTACTTGCTTGTCTTTACAGACCCAAGTCTGTCTGCTGGCAAAAAGGAAAATAAATGAAAAAATTCAGACCCTGCTCGAACTAGAGAAAAACAAATTACAAATTTAGTTGTTGGGCAGCACATAATTAGTAAGGCAGGACCTCAAATGGTGACCTTTTACGTAAGCCAATTGCCAGATCCTCAAGGAATTAAAACCAGGGTGCCTGAGCCACATCAGTTCTGCAGTTATGTTGAGTATTGTGCTGAGACAGCCATACCCCAAGAAAAGGGAAGTCTTTTTAGAAGGCTTGCTGAGCAGGGTTGTAGTTGAAGGTGGATGGCAGGTGAGGCCGTTCTTCTAATTTGTCATATTCCAAATGGAACTCCTATAAAAACAAATTCAAGAATTTAGATAATTTCCTCTCCTTTTGGTCTCAAATTTCTGTCAAAATACATTTTACTATATGAATGAATAAAATACCTACATATAGAAGAATGGACACAGATATACCAACTCTTTTTCCCTCTAAGTAAAATACAGCTTGAAGAAAAATAATGTGCTGTAGTTTCTATCTGATAGGTACAAAAACAGATTTTCTGTTAAGTCAAAAGATGACTCCTGAACATCTATTTTATGACACTAAAATTCTGTGCATTTCTTTACTTAAAAATAGAAATAAAAGGGGGTAATTATATCTCTAAAGTAAAGCACTGAAAACTACAGGATATTCAAAATAAACCCCCTCAATAAACCTAAAAATTTATTTTTCATCTATGAAAAAAGTTTAGAAATGAAGAATTTTCCAATTTGTTTTTATCTCACTTATTTTTTTTAAAAAGCAAACAAAGTTATTCTAAACTCATTAAAATCTGGGGATAATGATGAAATAAAACTTGCACATCTCCAGACTTCCTATTTCACAAACCCAAAACTCTCCTGAGTTAAGGATAATTCAGCTGCCATCCAAAACTAGACAGTGAGTTTGCTGTAGGCACATACGAAGACAAACTAGACAGCTCATTTTAATCAAATTTTCAAAATACTGTATTAAATTAACTTCATAAGTTTTAAATTTAAGAATGTTGAAGTAACTTTTTCATGATATTTCACTAACAAAGTTGAGAATAGAGATGCAGAATATATGTAGATTTTTAAAAAACCTAAACAAAAAAAACCCTCTGCAACCCCAAGAAGCAAGAGGCTCTGTAATTACTAATTCTACAACCTAAATTTAATTTGAGAATAGAGATGCAGAATATATGTAGATTTTTAAAAAACCTAAACAAAAAAAAACCTCTGCAACCCCAAGAAGCAAGAGGCTCTGTAATTACTAATTCTACAACCTAAATTTAATTAGAACAAACTATCACTGTACAATCCCATTTAAAGAATTATGAACCTTAATATGTATTATATATTAAAGATTAAGCTAGCAAGTAACATTAGCAACCACGGGTTAACATTTTACCTTATCTGTCTGGTTTCAAATTGATATCATAATGGATGTTTCCACGGTTAAATTAAATTAAAATTCCTATTATTAAATTAAAATGGAAACTTAGGACATAGTGATCATTCTTTGTGATATAGAACCAAGTATTTATAATTTGAGAATATTATATTAACAATTACTAGACATAACAGGTACAACTTACTGAAAGCCTAATATGTGCCAAAACTAGACACAGCTAATTTTATTCTCATCTTTATAGTAAATCTGTAAAACAGATACCATTTTGCACCTGAGAAAAACAAGGCTCACAAGTAACTTGCCCAAGTCATACAATAAGATCCAGATCCAGGTGACACCAAAGCCCATGTCTTTTCTAATATAACATATTGCTTTTAATATTTTAAAAACATTTTAATATTTTAAATATTTTTAGATTTACTTCATTCCACTGCAATCCAGAAATAATGTCTAAAAACTTCAGTCTCCTGATAAAAATTTATAAAAAAGGTATACCACAGTGACTTTAAAACCTAAAAAAGATACCCTTAATATTATGACTGATACAGTAATTAAGGTGCAGAGATTATTTGCTTATCTGTAAAAACAAGCAAACACCAGAATCCTACAGCCACCATGATATGCCCCCTAATGCACTGTGTAGCCCCCATTCTCCCTCTTTCCACCCCTGTCTAGGAATTAAAAGAATTTTGTTGCTTGGCTGAAGTTGAATATCCAAATTAGTGAAAATATTTCCTTGTTATAACATTCTTTTGAAATTAAAATTGGTATCATAGTTTCCAAAATGTGTAGTTATAGAGTAGAAAGTCTATTTGTAACTTTGACAAATGATAAGCTCTTCCAAGTTATATAAACTAAGCTTATATTCACAGTGGTAAACTATATAATATTATTAGAACTTAAACTAGCTTATCTTCATTAATATACATATTTTTCCCCTACATATCAGAAAAAGATCAGTTTAAACCTAGGGAGCATAGATATTTTAACATAATTTTTAAAAATCTTCAACAACTCTTGTATATCAGAGATTCAGAAATTAAATAGGTCAAATTTTGTCTTCCATTGTTTTTCAATCTTTTTGTTGTCTTCCATGAATTTTTCTTCTAAAAAGCTTACAACATACTGTTATCTCTTTGTTCCCTAACTTTATCTTGATTGTTGATAACATCTCCTTTACATGTTTATATGTATGCACATACCACACATACACACACCTGTGTACATTCTGTAGGAGTAGCAAGAAGTTTGATTTGTATACCACTACCTACTGTTAGGGATAGTGCCAGGCCCCTAGCAAGTCTTTAATTAGCATCTGATGAATTAATAAATACAAGCTTTCTTCATTTGTTTTAGAAATACTTCATTTTTCAAGTAATATTTTAAAATTATGTATTAGAGTATCTATGTATATATTTGTTTTTAATGGAAAAAACAATTTTAGATTATGGTTTAATAATTTAAAAGACTAGAGTTTTAAATATTTGTTAAACTACTTTTAATACCTTAATTTTTCTATTAATAAAATCAGGTTATGTATTCTCAAAAGGTTACTTAATTCAAGAAAAACTGAAATTATGCACTGGATTCAGATGTTTACATAAAATTATTATTACAAAAACATTAATGTCATTACTGATCTAATGACAGAGAAACATACACTACAGGAGCATTTTTTCAAATTCTCAAAACATGTCAGCTTTCTCTTAACTATAATAAATCCATATTAATTTAAATTTTAGGAAGGAAGCAGCAAACTATCTTAAATAGTTATAAGAAATAATTTTTTGGAAGAAAAGTAAATATTACTAATTAAAGTATAAAAATGTACTAATTTCACCAGTGAAAATCATGAAAAAGAATAACATTTATATCAGGCTGTGACATAAAAAATCCTAAGAACTAGAAATCTTACTAGATGTACAAGGTGATATCAGGCTAAATAAATTCTTAAATCTTTAATCTTTAATTTGTGAAAGCTATTGGTAACAGAGAAGCCTCCATCACCTAAAAATTCACTGTGGAAGAAATTACTTTAAAAACTTCGTTCACTAAGATTATATATACTATCTCAATTACCACAAATCCTAAATTAGTGGGATTTGAGTAATTCTAGCAAAATCACATAGGACAATATGGCTTGCTAGAAAGTTCAGGTTATCTAAAAGTTATGTAGAAATTAGTGACTTACAGGTAGGGGATGGCTGATAAGCTCAGTTGGTTAGCTAAAGCATGGTGTTTAGTAACTCCAAAGTCCAGTGTTTGATCCCTGTACCAGTAAGCCACCAAAATTGTGTGTGTGTGTATAAGAATATTTCTGGTTTAAATCATCTAATCCCTTATGATTCTCTAAAAATATTAAGTGATTAAAAAAAAAAGCTCATACAAGATATTATGAATGGAGACCAAGATTACGGTCTACATCAGTTCAATATCTTTCAATAACACCATGATAACATCAAGCTATTTAATTATGTTCTTAACCTGTGAATGGTACACCACACCCACTTTACAGATGGGAACTCTGAAGTTAACATGGGACACTACATATTAATGAATTTTCTGTAGTTTGATGAAGTCTGTTAATAAATATAATATGAATAGAACCCAAATTTCTTAATTCCTAATCAAATTTCTGGGATTGCATTGAACATATCCTTTAAAAAGAGCCATTTTGAAAATTTTAGTATGTGAATATAGTACAACTTGAAAGTGTTAAGTTCATGAATTTGTGTTTTAATATAACCAAGAAGTGAGCTGCTTATTAATACCTGACAGGAACCAACAATTCTGCTTGTTTTCAACACTATGAAAACAGTTTCGAAGAGTATCAGTGCAAGTGGCCAGCAAACTGTTCTCTCAAGAGATATTTCTTAAGGAGTAACTTAATGATATTATATCTCAATTTTATTTTCCCGCTTCATGGCTAAAATTTTTAAAGGTAAAGGTTAAGACAAAAGCTCAACTGTATAGGAGATATTAGATAAAACTGGGCAAAATTATTTTATATATACACACCATATATTTAATTATATATATATTTTTAAGATATATTTAAGATAGATATAATTTTCTTTAAAATGGCATTTACCTGACTGGAGAATTGCTTTTGTGGGAACATAAAGGGGTTTTATATCAATGTTTAAGTTATTTCCAAGTATTAACTTTATGAAGAGAACTTAACTTTGGAAAACTGATTTTCTCACATAAGCCGATTTCCTCACGCATACATCTATGTATATACACCTAACTAAAACTATACAGCTATCTACTGCAAACATCCATTCCATTTTGCATATATAAGTTTGGACTAATTTACAATGTTATTAAGCAAAGAGCTTCAAACTTAATGGAGAAAACTTCAGTTACTTACTAACAGAATTTCTTCCCCATCCAAAGATATTTTTTGTCTTATCATTAGCATCACCTAACCAGAGGTTCTTAAAGTATGGCCCTGAACAAGGGCAGTATCATCACTGGCATCACTTGGGAGCTCATTAGAAATAAAAATTTTCAGGCTGCACCCATCAACTTATTAAATCAGAAACAATGGAGGCATGACCCAGCAATTTGGGTTTTAAAAGTCCTTTAGATAACGCTGATTAATGTTTGAGAATCAATGACCCAATCAGTTGTAATTTTTCCATCTTTGGAAAAATGGCAGTAAACTATAATAACGATGATAAGAACAGCAGCAACAGCATTCTACATTGATGCACATAAAAAAAAAAAAACCCAAAACCAGCAAACTCCCACACCAAGTATGTGTCAAGCCCTGTGCTCTGTGTATGTGTGTATAATCTCATTTAATCTTCATGATAACCTGGAAAAATGGCAGTAAACTATAATAACGATGATAAGAACAGCAGCAACAGCATTCTACATTGATGCACATAAAAAAAAAACCCAAAACCAGCAAACTCCCACACCAAATATGTGTCAAGCCCTGTGCTCTGTGTATGTGTGTATAATCTCATTTAATCTTCATGATAACCTAAAGGAAAATACCATCTCCATTTTACAAAAAAGGAAAAAGGAATGGAAAAGAAACTTGCACAAGGTCAAGGCACAAACAGCAGAATTAGGAGTTAAATTCAAATCCATGATACAAAAGCTATGGCTTTCTAGTATACTTAGTATTTTAAGGAATAGGTAACATAAACAATGTTTCATGTACTACTTTTAATTAATGTAATTGTTCCTATTAAAGTAAAAGGTTAAGTCAGGAATACACTTTCTGAAATCAAGATAATCATATTAATTAAAAATGTTAAAATAACTCAAATATACAGTATATAGACTTGGAATGAAAAGTAATGACATTTATCATTGAGAAATCTAAAAATAATAATAAAAAATTTTAACCTCTTGTGTGTATCTTTTTCTGGTGATTTTTGTTAGACTCGTCTTTTCCTATTAGTAAAGTTGATTCAAAAAAACAATTAAGAAAACCCAAACCAAACTAAAAAGCTGTCCAAAGAACTGTCAGAAATATTTTTCTTCTGTTTAAATTTATTTAAAACAAACAAAACTAACTCTTCAGTTTACAATCCTAAGAAACATTGATGGAAAATGCATTCAGAGAAATCCTAGAGTTGTAAAATCAGATAATGTGGACTGTATTCTCTACTAGGTAGACTAAGTACACAAAAGGCACTAAATACAAATGTGAAATATGCCTTGACACCGATGGAAATTTTACATATGGGATGGTTAGAAAGGCATTTTGGTGAGGAAAAGTTGCAAAACCAAAATAAACAAATGAACAAATCAACCTTTTTACACAGCCCTTCTCTCCCCAGTATTTAAGCATGGTAGTCATAGGAATAGAATACATGGTTAAAGCTTGCAATTTTCTTTCTTTAAATGATTTGCAAGTAAAAAGTCAGGCATCTTTCATGCAATGAGTGCAAATGTAAAAACCTGTTTATATACTGCTTTTAGGAAAAATCTCAAACTTGTTCAAAGTAACAATAATATAAAAATACATGACTGGAATTTCAAGAGGATATCTTTATTTTACAACTTAGTAGGCACAAAAATGCTTCAAATGTTACCAAGGCTTGTACAGAATTACAAAATCTCTTACCGAGTTTAATAATTTTCCTAAATTATTAGTGAAATGAACTGTTTCTGGACATTCTCCTAAGAGTTAAAATCAAGCCAAGGAATTATATGCAAAAGAGTAGGCAAATTTCTAGCACATTATTGGAATGAATGTATTGGTACATATAAACAGATTAAAAGAGGAAGGACACGTCTTTTTTAAAGTCTAGATTTATACATTTGCACATGGAAAAAAATATACCTTAGCTACTTTCCTCCAGTTAAGACAGTCAAAGAAGTAATATGTTCCCCTCTCGTATGTATTGGTTTTCATTGTTGGCTCCATGCCTGGTGCCCTGGTAATCCATACTCGTTCTTCTTTGTGGTATCTCCAATCACGGTTAAAACTTCAATTTTTAAAAGAAAAAAAATAATTATTATTTTTTTCCTATGGCTCACATCAAACATTTTCTATGCTTTGTAAAACTTTTCTCAGAAAAAAATTACACACAAAATACATAAATATGGATGCTTGTTAAGTCTTGAGTCTCTTATTATTAAATATAAACCTATTGAAATGAATAAAGAAAAATAATTCCTTAATCTTTCCAGAAAGCACTCTTTAATTAATACACATACCTTTATTTAATGAAATAAGCTTTTTATACAAAACAAGATTTGTAAAGTTCTATGAACAACGTTATAAAAACTTAGGCAGACCAAATAAAGATACGATGTGTTCCAAAAACTTCACTCCCAACTATCTGTATTATTTAGTAAGCAACTAAATAAAAAGTCTATTTGAATTAACTATTTAAACTCACATAATTTTATAATTATGTTGAAAATAAAATATCCATTTTGAAAAATTTTAATAAATGTATTACTTTATTTTTTATTCCAATCTTATTAATCCTAAATTCTGAAAAGCTAAGAGGATATCCGTAAGAATTCACACGAGAACTAACAAGGATTTACAACACCTGTTAACAGGGGAAGTAACACCCAAAAGAGGTAAATGTCACACAAAAATAAACCTCCATGTATAAAAATGCCTTTCTACCAAGACAGTGATGTAGGTTTTAGACATAAATAAGAAACAAAATTGCCAGTGATGGATAGATGACTGACTGAATAAACTTATTTACATATGAATAAAAGGAATAGGTAATAATCCCTATCTCACAAAAATGAGAGGAAAAATGGGAAAAGCAAAAAATAAATCCTCTGAATTAAGAAATAAAAAATGAAACAATTCATTATCAACAGTGAATTTTACAATTAAAGTATCTGATCCAAGGCCATTCATAGAAATGTTATTAGGAATATTTAATAATTAAATTAAATCTGAATAAAGATCTCTCAATCACAAGGTCATAAATTTTTGCTAACAACTCACACTATAGTAAGAATGATAAATAGAATAGTCTATTGGTAACAAAATATGTTACCAACTGGACATGTAAGAAATGACACAAAACTTTTATTCTTAGAGCACCAGATAAAAACAGAAATATCAGGAAGTATTCAATGGGCCAACTTCTTTATACTACCTTCTACTTAAATTGGCCAACGGGCTGCTAATAATCAATGTGGGCTTAATTTGATCAGAACCTCAAAATATACAACAAATACAGTGCCTTGTCTATATAATACTTAATATATGCTTAATATACGGTTCCACAAGGAGTAAGAAGAACCACAGTCATGAATCACATCTTACACTTCATATATTTTACAAAAATTAGATTCACCAAATGTACAAGTCAAGTCAATTCTTTATTTTACAACTCTAGTGTTACTTAAGTTTGAAATTCTTTTTATATATACAGTGATTATAATGCCATGGTAATAAATGGTTTTAATCTAACTTAAATTTATTTTACTAAAGGTATTAATAAATTTCTTGATGTAGAAATATTTCTACTTTAAAAAACTATAGCATTAATCATTTTAAAAAAAAGTTTTCAGAATAGTCAAGATCCACTATAATACAAAAGTGATTAAAATACTTTGAACATACAGCTCTACTGCAGCTAAAAGTTGTAATACATCTCCTCCATTCATGTAATAGAGATAGAAGAGAAGGTCTTCTCCATATCGGCCAAGTTTTATTGCAGCCAGCTGGAAAAAAAAATACATATATTCTGAGATGTTAAACAAATTTGAAAGTCCTAATATATAATTGCTACCGCTAAAGTAAAAATGTAAAGATAAACAGAAACTCTTCAGTTTGCAGCAAACTACTATATTACATAATTCTACAGATAGGTAGTTATAATTCTAAAGGGAATTTCTGGTACAACAACGTTTGATATACTAATTGGAAAAAAGCTAAGTAAAAACTGCCAACAAAACCAAATGTTTACGGTCTCGCTCCAAGGATTTATTAATATTCAATGTGGCAACAATACTAGAACACTGTATTCAGAGACCTAGGACTTGTATTCGAGTAGTTGTTCTATTATTTATTAATATGACCATGGTTCAATATATTTAATACCTATGAGCTTTAGTTGTAAAATGTGGACAATGACACCTATGAGGGTTACTAAGAAAGTCAATAAAATGAGTGAAGATATATGAAAGCCCCATGCAGAGTGCCAGATACACAGAAGGCTTATAAGAAATGTTAAATGAATCTATATCCAACAGTGAGTCAAAACTCAGTTGGTTGTATGTTTTCAGCAAATCACAGATGGTGAGTATAAAAATCATAAATAGATGGCTCTTTATTTTGTTTAAATGGATGACTGAAAGATGACCACTATACATTTCCCTCCATAAGGTAGAAACATAACTGTCAACCAAACTATAAATGTAGCTGAATTCAATAGTCAAATTCTCGCAGTAAAATAAACCTTAAAAGTTCCCCCAAACAAAACCATTTATATATCTCTTTGCCCAATCTTATATCTAAATGTCTATTTGGCTACTATACATTCTCTGAATGTTAATTTTTCTCTCTAATCATGTTATCCATTATTCAGTCAGCCATCCCCAATGTGATAGTCTTAAATTAGTACTTCTAAATTAGTACTTCTCAGACTAGCATAAGAAAAGGTTCTGGAAAACTAGGTATTTAGAGCAAAAGAGCTCTATAGTGGCAGCAAATCACACAATCCACAAACAGAAAATACAAGATCTCTCTATCTCATACTTCTTGTATTAAAAGACATATTGAGAAATAGATCCCTTTACTTGCCTGCTCACCACATCAATATCCATTTGGCCACACAACTATATGACACAGACTCAGAATGCTATCATTAACATACATATATATAAAAAAATTAAAAATATTTATATATATATATATAAAAACTATATTTACACACATATGGAGGTACTTCAAAAAGTGCATGGAAAGATTTGTATTACCTTTTAATTCTATTTTTCCACGCACTTTTTGAAGTACCCTTGTATGCATAACATAAATATACTTTTTCACTAAATTATATCCTTTCATAAAACTAAAATTTAGATAGCATTATCCATTTTTTTTCTCCTAACAGAAATGAACTCTCAGTTCCTGTTAAAGCAAAAAATATTTAGTATTTTCTTTCTTAGATTAAAAGAGATGTTTAAGCTGTAATCTTTTGTTAATAATTACTTTATAAATAGAATTTTAGGTTAAAAAAATGGAAAAGAAAAAATACACAAAAAAGGCAAAGGTCATAAGTAGTTATTAAATATATATATTTATACCGTTCCATTAAAAACACTGTATCTACAATACTCATAAAGGAAAATCTCTCTTCTTGGTAAGGGCAACAAATGAGAATATCAGAAGGAAATTTATCAAATTTTCTAAGATCATTCCCATCAACTAAGGTTATGGTTATACCCTATTACTAACTATAAGAAATATTTTAACAGTCCAAAAATTGTTTTGTTTTCAAAATATAACCTAGAACATCATCAAAACATTAAGACTGTAAACAAAAATAGAAATAAAACTGTTGTATATAATTTAATGGATATAGGATATTATACCCAAGACCACTGCTAATTATTTCAAAAGTATTGTGTTGTCTGAACTGAAAAGCAGCACCTGGAAAATAGATAAATTCATGCTGACTGAGTAGAATAATAAACTACACTCACCTTATCCCTAATGTGAATGTTCGTTAAGTACTCAGATGGAACATGGAAGTCTGGATAATAAAATGAAAAACACCTTATAGCAGTTAAAAGTAGTGAGACATGTCCAGACTCTATATATATTCTGGAAAAAGACTGGATATGGGGTATTAAAAAAAAGAGGAGTTAAGGATAACATCAACTTCTACAAGTATAGAATTACCACCCTGAGACTGGGAAGACTGCAGATAGAATAGGTTTGGGTAAGATTATTCAACAGATGTTTAATTGGCAATTGGATCTAGAAATCTCAAGTTCAAGAGAGAAATCTGAAATGGAAATAAGTTTGAGATTCTTCAAAATATATGGTATTTAAAACAATGAGAATGAAAAAGATCATCAAAGGAGTAAATGCAGAGAAGAGGACTAACACAAAAGTGGTCAAGAAGAAGAGAAGGAGGTACCAGCAAAGGAAACCAAGAAGGATCAACCAGTGAGATTAGGTAAGAATGGTGTTCTCAAATTCAAGTGAAGAATGTGTACCGAGGAGCAAGAGTTCCTAGAAGTGACAACTCAGTTTTTAATAGCATGGAGGTCATTTGATGACATCGATGAGAGCAGTTTTAGGGGGGTGATGGGGGCAAAATCCTGAGCGAAATAGGTTTAACAGAGGATGGGAGAAGACAAGCTGGAGAAATAGACGATATTTTAAAGAAGTTTTGCTTCAAAGAAATGGGACAGTAACTCAGAGGAGGCTGGATTGAGAGAAGGTATTTTTAAGGTAAGTAACTGTTTATTTGTATGCTTACAGAAATAATACAACAAAGTGTGAAAAAGTGTTACAGTAATGTCCTTGAATTTTCAAGAGAGGTTTTAAGTAGAAAGCGTGGATCAACTATGACAATAGGTGAAAGACAAGAGTGAGGTGTACGCAGTTAAATTTGGTGGCACAACTGCTAATCATTAATGTTCTCTACTGAATGCTTCTTCCCTTCTTAAAAAGCAAGGTCATCAGCTGAGAGTAAGGATAGGGAGAGAAGGTAGTAGAGGTTTGCAGAAGTATAATACAGTTGCATAGGACAATAAAAGAGTGAATGGACTAGGCAATGCCAGGTATGATTACGCCTGGCAGAAATAAGTGCCCAATTTTGAGGTTCTGACCATGAATATGAAGAAAAACCAAGCTGTAAAGTTGTGTTTTTCTTCAATATGGCTCAGCATCACAGGTCAGAAATGAAACAAGCAGAGATTCAAGGATATTTCAAAAAGTTCACTGAAAGATTTGTGTTATCTTTTAATTCTATTTTCCCACGAACTTTTTAAAGTATTCTCGTATAACCAGGGTTTTTGCTATGACAGTATGACAAATTGAGAGAAAGGCAAAGTAGTCAAGGATATATGTAAATAAGAAATTATAACTAATTATAATTAGAATTAATTATAATTAGAATTAAAACTTAATGTGTAAGAAGGAAGTGAATTCATTGCAGGGGATAAGAGACAGGGATACTAAGAAATAGCAAAAGGGTATTAAAAAAAAAATCAATGGATGTAAGGTCCCAATGAAGTCAAATGATTACAGGAGTCATAGTACTAGAGGGAGAGAGATGGAAAATAGGAAGTGGTGGTCAGAAAACATGGACGCATGAACTTAAAATCATGGAGACAATGCAGTTACTAGTAATGACAAGGTCAAAAGGATGTCTAACGGAGTGAATGAGGTATGGTGGAAGAAAGATTTTTGGAGGAAAGAAATTCGAGATTTCAGGATTTTGGAAAGATCATATACTTGTATACTGAAACTGCCAAACTATAAGAGGAATAATATTGCAAAATGACAGTGATCTAGGAGATAATGTGAAAGGGAATGAACCAAATAACGAGTCAGCAACAATGAGTGACAGGAACAATGAGTGACACCAGATGATATAATCTGAGGACATAAGATTAAAAGCTAGAAGTATAACAGGAACAATGAGTGACACCAGATGATATAATCTGAGGACATAAGATTAAAAGCTAGAAGTTTGTAGGGCAATATTATATATAAATGTTGAAAACAAGAAAAAAAAACTTACTCTGGAGAGTTCAGATTGAGGCCTAATGTTGTTAAGTCACTTCCTAATGCCAGATGTACCATTCCCGGGTCTGTCTCTGCTGCCCTGATAAATGTCAACAGGCCAATCATCCCAAATTGGTCTGTCACCATCCCTTGAGGAATGTTAGTAACTCGACCTGGGTAAGAAAAACAGTCACTTTTGTTATCGAGGAAAAGTAAAAAACGGCATTCTATAATATCTTTGACATATTTTTAGAGTCCCACCATCAGGTAACACCTGGATCCCTTTTTTCTGCTGGTTATTATTTTGTGTTGTTGAACTTTTATCTCCAGGGAATTTGGGTCCATCTGTACTTGAAGTTGTCTTGCCAGATGTATTCAAATTCTAGCATAAAAAAAATGAAATATGACATTAAAATTTAAGTGTACAAATTCAAGTTCACCTATTAATACCTTGCAATTCATCTTTTATTATATTCAAACTGGCAGTAAATTATTACCTGATTTTCAAGTTCTACATGAAAATTTTGTTTCCATAATTGTCCCATGGTATACAAATAAAATCCTCTATCATCCACATTTAAGTATTTAAAGAACAAGAAATCTAGGGGGAAAACCCTGATTTATCTCAGATCTTCAGTCACAGAAAAAAAAAATCCCCCCTCTCTGTCTCTCATACTTTTTCAAACCAAATAATTCTCTAATAATAATAATTACAATTGTCATCTACCTGAAATCCCTCTGTGTTAAATCAAAATGGTGTGCATATGGTGCGGTGGAAAAAAAAAATTGTTAGTTTTAGAATCAGACCAACCTCTATTCAACAGAGATTCATTACTTGGGCTTTCCTTAAATTACTTTAATTTCCCCATTGATGAAAATAATAATAATTTCTGCTTTCTAAATTGTGGTGAGGGTTAAAATGAGGTAGCTGTAAAGTCTCTAGCACCAAGTGGGAAAATTTTGGTGGAAATAAATAGTGGAACTTTTTAGAAGAACTTTATATTTATTATAAAAATAGCTTGTAAATGTTCAATTATTTTTAAGTAAGGAGGAAAAACAAAATCCCTAACGCAACACACCTTGTCCATAGCATAGAGTTCTCATTTTGAACTTACACTCCTCAATGCTTTTATTTAAAAGAGAAACTGAATATAGTACACTACATAAAACACCACCAAAGCAAACTCCAAGATAAGTTAAAACATATGACTTTTAAATTCATACTTATTTTCATTTTTACCCAACAATCTTCTTTATCAATTATCTTAATAATGTACAAAATCCCATATACAAAAAAGCTATTATCAGTGAAATGTGGAAGAAATAAACACATTTGTTAAATCAGAAAGAGGAAGCTGAGTTGGCTGAATCAACACAGGTATAAAAATGTGTATAAAGATTCTTCAAGGAGAAAACTTACTCAAGAAAAACACAGCTCCTTAGAAGGCTATATTATCAAACTTCATGGGATCCAGCTGACAGGGACTACAATAAAAGTCTAAATTAACTCTGAGAAGTTCAACAGAAATTTGCAAACCTATATGAAATAGGAAAAAAATAGGCTATCTTCTAAGTTACAAAGCTTTTCCACATTCTTCAGAAGTTAGATTATTACAGATATTCAAGATAGTTTTGTAATAGTATTTAGTAAGTAATTGTTAATATAAGAGAAATCTGAAAAAAAAAAAAAACTACATCACTCACACAATTCTCAGTTACTTACAGATTTACTGTCATCATTACTTGATGTTGGATCTTTATAGCTGGAACCAGGTAATGCTGGAAAATCTTCATTGTGTATTGAGAAGTCCTGGGATTGCTCATTTGCTGGTTTTGTTACCATTCCAACTATGTAATAAAAATAACCCAGAGAACTGCAATTGATATTTATGATATTTTGCTACAGATTATTAAAATTTAACTTTCCTTATGATACTATACCAAAAATTAATTTTTAAATGCTATGAAAGCATACTTCGAAAATTAGTATCCAGGATAACAATGAAGAACTAAACTTTAATTTACTAATTAACACAACATACAAAATAAATAATACAAGGGAAATAAGTGGTAATCCCAATCCTGTAATTCTAATCTAATGTCATACACTGGTGCTTAAAAATTATTTGACATTGGTAATAATTATTAAAAATTTTGATATAAAAGGTTGCTTTATTTAAATATATGATTAGATATTGTAAGCACCAGTTAACTGTCAAATACAAATGAAGCTGGTGCTTAAAAATTATTTGACATTGGTAATAATTATTAAAAATTTTGATATAAAAGGCTGCTTTATTTAAATATATGATTAGATATTGTAAGCACCAGTTAACTGTCAAATACAAATGAACAAAATAAACTTTAAAAGAATATGTCAGTATTCTACTTGAAAGTGACTTACAGAATGAGCAAATTGCAATCAATTATAAAACAACTCCATATTATTTCAGATTTTCTTGGACTCCATGTTATAGATGTAAAACATGCAAGAACTGGGAAATAATCTTCCCACTATACTTGGCATTAGTCGGGCCCTTATTGGAGAACAATATCCAGTTTGGGGCTCCACAATTCAAGAACGATATGGAGAAACTAGAGATGGTCCAAGGAGAGCAACGGGAATGATTAAAGGGATGAAAAAATGGACCTATGAGGAAAGGTTAAAAACATTAGAGTCTGAACTGAGAATCAAGTAGCCAGGTACTCAACTTCCAGAGCAGATCATTTTTTGTTATTTTTAGAAAGCTAATTTGGAAACTTTAGTACATGAACAATAAATGTTTCCCTTCTTCACATATTATTTGTATTTATATTCTGAAAGGCATAAAAATCCTTCTTGGTTGAAAAATGGAAAAAAATATTAATTCTATTTTAAAATAAGTGATAAGTTGATCCCTCTAAGTCTACTGTTTTGCTATTGGTTATCTATAAGATTTCCCCAAAAGGAAATAATCATACAATAAAAAGAGTATGGCTATACTGCCGTCACAGAATTTTCATGTCTAAATTGTTACATTATTATTGCTTACATTTTCACCCCTTTGTTTTCGTTTACCCTTTATTAGCCAAATCTCTTACCTATTAGAGACAGTGAAAAAGGGTGATGAAGGATATTAATGGTGACCAAGAGTCTACATAAACTGTACATGATCCATGAACACTGGTTCTCAACAGGGGGCAATTTTTTCTCCCAGGGGACATCTACCAATGTCTGGAAACATCTGTGTTTGTCACAATATGGGGAGTGGCCAGGAGGTAGAGGGTAGCAGTGACATTAAGTAGGCTGAGGCCAGGAATGTTACTAAACATTCTGCATAAGCAGGATAGCCCCCCACGCCCAAAGAATTATCTGGCCCAAATGTCAATAGTGTGAAAGTTGCAAAACCCTGGCTTAGAGAGACATCTTCAATGTACAGTCAGTCATTATTAAACACTAGGAATGTATTTTGAAAAAATGTGTGATCAATTAAGGACAGAAAGAGCAGACCACAAAATAAATCACTTAAGGTGAACTAAAGCAGAGACCCCAAAAGAAAATAACTTCTGAATACCAATGAAGACCTCCTTTTGGGTTTCCGTACATCTTCCCATTGAACTCTGTTACCATGGTATTCTGGGAAGAAAAGTCACTTTTCATATATCAATTCTAACAAAATTACATATGTGTACACATGTGCACAGACATGCATATGTACATACATACGTATGTGTTTGTGCACGTACAATGGAAAGTTTCCACTATCATTAAAAACCTTAATTAATTACCATAAGGAGCTCTTCCAGCCAAGGGGTTTATTAACGGAGTTGGGTTACCACTTCCTTCCCTTCTGTTTCGGTCTGCTAATGCTGGAAAATCTGAAAGGTCCAATCCTGTCACATTTTCACTTCCATCTAAATAATAAGAAAAAACACTAGTTATTGATTCTACAAGCATTTTTAAGGAGATTATAAAAAACAATATAGTATATATAATATAATTTGAAATGACAGTGCCTTCTTCCTAAATAACGTACAGCACTGTAGGGTGCATGTAGGTTTCATGTCACAGAATTTCATCAGCAATTCAGTAAAGCAATTATGCAACTAACATAATAAAAACCACAAATCCTATAGACTTAAGATAGAGAATAAGGAGTAAGATCATACATTATTTCCCCAGTGGAAGATGGTAACATAAAATTGTAGCTCGTTAATGAGAGGGAGACTATTGTGATACAACTGCTCATTTCATTTATCCAGGTGGAAGTTATATCTGGAATGCTTGGAGCTTTAGTTATACACACAGATGGGGCAATGACAGTTCCTCCTGCAAATAGCCATAAAGATACCTGAGGCACAGGCAGTACAAGCAGAAGCCCTGAGGACTTCTGCCCTCTAACCTGTTGGTTTCATACATGTGTGTGTATGTAAGTATGTATGTATGTTTTGCAGGTAGGGGTAGAAGAGGGGTGGTAGTTGCTATGTCTGAAGAATAGGTAATAGGAAATATGGGAATATAACACAAAGCCCAGAACTTTATATAACCTAATGTATGTTTTGCAGGTAGGGGTAGAAGAGGGGTGGTAGTTGCTATGTTTGAAGAATAGGTAATAGGAAATATGGGAATATAACACAAAGCCCAGAACTTTATATAACCT